ATTATCCAGTTGGGCCATGAATGCCATCACAAATGTTATGATAAGAGAGAGCAGAGGGAGATTTGACACACACCCAGAGAAGAGAAAGTGATGTGAAGATGGAGACAGAGATTGGAATGATGTGGCCATAAGCCAAGGTATGTTGGCAGTCACCAGAAGGAGTGGATTCTCCCCTCAGGCTTCCAAAAAGTGCAGCCCTGCCAACAGATTGATTTAACTCAGAGATACTGATCTGGGCCTTCTGGTGTCCAGAACTATAAGAGAATAAATTTCGTCTGGAAATGGAAGAAAGGTGATTAAAATAAAATTAGTATTTGAGCCTAAGAGCAGTCAAAGGAGACTAATATTATCCTTCATCCCCTCCTCCCCTTCTTGCCTTAGAGATAAACATGAGACACAGAACAACAATTGAGAAAACAAAATCCACCATGATAAAAATGACAGAGAGAGAGAAAAGAGCAAGCCCAGGATTCTCACAACATCCCTATTGGCATCAGCCTAGGACCCCTTACCTACAGGTTACTGGTTGTACAAAAGAAATGTATGTCCCATCAGCTTAACCCACAGCAATCCTATATGGAACAGCTCTCCTTGACCCGCTAACCAGCTTCACCTCTCCTCTCTGCTCTCTGCTAGCCCCTTCCTCATATCACCCAAGCACACAGCCATGACTTGATACTTTCTACACTGTGTCTGCTTCACCTATGAAGCGTGTGCTCCTTGAGGACAGTGACATTTATCAGTGTAGCCCCCACATCTAGGCCGGTGCAGTCACATGCCAAGCAATCAGCAAACGCCTGTAAACAAATGGATGAGGTCTTGCAAAGGACATTAGGCCTGGAAGGGGTCCCATATGGCAGCATTCCCAATTCAGTAGTCCATCACCTGCAGAGATTTCTAGATGATAAATCCCTGGGTACCCAGGGGATGCTTGGGGCTTTTGCTGATTCCCAGGTAGTCCTAAGAGATTTCACTTTCTCCTTTCGATTAAGCAAAATATGTTGGTCTTTCCACTTATTTTTCAGAGTCAGGGAAACTCAAGATCAGTCTATGATAACTGCACAGGGACATTTTGTTAGGGAGTCTGAGTGACACTGTGGACATTAACTCAAAGGTGCCATTTCTTTTATTACTTATTATAAAGCAGTCACCCACTAATTTAT